CTTCTTTTGTTCTTTTTCCTTTTTCTTCTCCTTTTTTGTTTCTTTTGCTTCTTTTGCTTCCTCTTTTTGTTTTCTTTCTTCTTTTTGGCAGTTTTCCTGTCTTATTTCTCTCCTTTCTTTTCTTGCTTTTTTCCTTGCTATTTCCTCTTCCTTTTTTTGCTTGTTCCTCCTATCTCTTCTCTCTTTCCTTTCCTCTTCCTTTTTTCGCTGTTTTTTCTTTTCTATCTTCCTGGTTATCTTTTCCTCTCTTCCTCTATCTTTTTTCTCCTTTGTTTCTTCCTTTCTTCCTTCTTTCCTGTCCTTTACTTTGCTCTTGTCTTCTCGTCCGTTCCTTTTTACTGTCCTCTTTTCTCTCCTCTTTTTCTTCTCGTCTTCCTTCCTTTCTATTCGTCGCTTTTCTCTTCTACTTCTCTCTTTCTTTTCCGTTGCTTTATTTCTCTTTCGCTTTGCTTTTTTACCTATATTATTGCTTTTTCTCCATGCATGTTTCCTGCTGTTTTTGCTGTTTTCTCTTTTCTTTTCTACTTCTCATTTCTCTTCTCTTTTTGTCTCTTCCTGCTTCCTTATCCGTTTTTCTTTTTTCTCTTGTTTTTGCTTCTTGCCTTCATTTTCCTCCTGTTTTTCTCTCTATCTTCTTCCTTTTGCCGCCTCTTTGTCCATTTTTCTTTCTTTTCCTTATCTTTCCTTATTTCTCCCGTTGTACTCTATTGTATATTACTTCTATTTTCCTTCTTTTGCCCTCTTTTTTCTTTTTTTATTATTTTTGTTCTCCCTCTCTGTTTTATTTCTTACTTCATCTCTTTTTATTTTTGTTTTCATCTTTTTCTTCTCCTGTTTTCTGTCTTATTTACTTATCATCCCTTTTTTTTTTCTCTCCCTTCTTCTTTGATTCTGTTTTTCCTTCTTCGTCCTTCTTGCTTCGTTGTCGTACTCTCGCTTTCCTTACCCTTTTGTATTCTGCTCACTATTACCTTTTTCTATCTTTCTTGTTCCTCTTTTCTCTTCCGTATTCTTACTTTCCTGTCTCTCTTATTCTTGCCTTGTTTCTTGTTGCTTTTTCCTGCTTTGTTTCTTGTTTATTTCTTCCGTTTTCTTTGTTCTCTTGTTTCGTTTCTCTTTCTCCCTTCTCTTTTTATCGCTTCTTTTTGTCTCTGTCTCTTCTTATTTCTCTTTTTTGTGCTTACTTTCTTTTCAGTTATTGTTCCTGCTTCATTCTGTTTCCTTTTGTCTTTCTTTCCTGTCGCTTTGTCATTTTTTTTATGTTTTATCATTTTCTTCTTTCCTTTTCGTTCTTCTCTGTCTCGTTATTTTCCACTTTTTTTCCTTTCTTTCATTTTCCTATCTTGCTTAGCTTTTTTTTCTTCTATCTTGTTTTCCTTCTGATCTCTCTCTTTGTTTCGTTCTTATTTTTCTTTCATTTTTTTCCTATTTCTTGTCTTTTTCATTTCGTTTTTCCTGTCTTTTTGCTTTCTTTCTTATCGTTTCTTGTCCCCTTTCCTCTCTTGTCTTTACTTTTTGTCTCGTTTTTTTATCTCTTCATTTTCCTGTTTTTCTCGCTTCTTCCTTCTTCTCTTTTTTCTTGCATTGTTCTTTCCTTTTCCTTTTGTTGCTGCTTCCTGTTTCTCTTGTTTCACTTGTTGTGTCTCCCTTTTTCTTTTGTTCTTTTCTTTTTTTACTTTCTCCTTTATTTTTTCTCTTTTTCTTCCTTGCTCTTTTTTTTGCTCTTTCCTATTTCCTACATCTTTATTATTCC